CTGAAGTACTTCAATATGTTGTAAGCCCAGATAATTTTGTCTTGTGCCCATATAAAAGGGAGATGAGAACATCTGTGTTGAACTTAATGTAATTCAAGTGACCGATCACAAATTATATCTAATTCAGTCCCTTTTCCAAGGTATGTTCCACTTTATGCCATATTTTCTGTTACTAGTTGTTTATGCTGGGCTCTCAGCTCTTGCCTTTGGAGCAGGAAAGAAGGAGAGTCTTTTAACTGTGCTGAAAGTCACCTTCTGAATATGAAGCTGAAAAACTTGTATACTGTTTTCCAAGCAGTGGGCAAACTTTTGCACGTGCCTGCATGAATTCATGTCCTTGTAATTAATGTTTTGATACGGACTTGGTTCTCATTTTCTTTTTACTTTAGTTTCCAGAGTTGCGAAGAGAGTCTGGAAGCCACTTGCTTCTGTGTCTGCAGAAGGTCTTTAGACTTAATACATCTTACAGAAGGCTGCACTTTAGCAGCAGTAGTTCAGGTGGGATTTGGGTAGGCCTTTTTGCTCCTTTGTCTTGGAGTGCTCCTACTTGGAGACACTAGGTTATTCATGGTTTCATTCATTGCTCTATTTCCTTCACATTTCTGGGAAGTTCATTTTAAAGCTAAATGGAATCAAGCACCTTCAAATTGTCTTCTATATTTAAAAAAAAGACCATTTCAAGGCATATCTCTCAGAAACACCTTTGAGTCTCTTGTGACTTCTTTGATGTTGCAAGTTCACCAACCAGTGGAACTACATCAGCGTTTTATGGGGCTAAAGGGAAGACCTGCAGCTAGTGGGTACCAAAGTACTGATCGATCCATCACACTTGAGATTGTTGCTTTGCTGCATCTAAGGAAGCTTACAGTTATGTTAAAAACTGTCAAGTAGCAGTGCTTTTAAATTTTGATTAACATTTTTCAAACTATATGCATGATGAATAATTGAATGTATTCTTAACACATACCAATTTGCATTCTTAAAAGTTTTTTGTTTTATTTTTAAACATCCCTTTGATATATTGTTCCTTACCATTTGGATAGGACCGTTTCATAATTTTTGTTTTACATTTCTTTTGTTATGAGTTTTTTTTCAATATTTAGTATGATCAAGAAGCTTTGGCAGGTAATTAGCTTGACTGTAGCAGTAGACATTAGCTGTTGAGAAGACAGGAAGATTGTACAAGGGCCTCTTCGTAAGTGGTTACTTTTTGACATTTCAAAGAAATGCTTGATTTTGATAAACCTGCATTTCATTTACACTGCTAGTGTATAAGAAATTAAGGGCTACAAATAGTGCTTTGTATTAGAACAAGGGTAATTAGTACTTGTTAAAAAATCTAAAGCAGAATAATCAAGTTATTTCTTGTAAGGATTATGAAATAACTGTGATAGATTGATGGTGCTTTTTATTTCAAAAAGTTTTATGTAGAGTAGGTTTAGTTACACCTTTAGAAACCTTCCTACATCACACTGACTTTCAGCTTGGGCACCTTCATCATGTCCTGAATGGAATTCAGCTGTTGGCTAACTTGCTGCAGAAACTTATGTCATTCTCTCATTTTCATCCCATTAAGTGCTACCCTCATTTGTTAACAGTTGGAAGGTAGAATGAAGATTCTTACTGTCAGTTCCTGGTTTTGATGCTGTTCTGTCTGAGAGGACTGAATGGAGATTTCTCATCTGAGTCTATGGCAAGAGTCTCTCACCCCCTATGTAGTAAGGGGGAAACTCAGCTACGTCCAAATTCTACTCAAGGGGATTAAAAGTCCAGATTGTTCTTTCCATCCCTTGCCCTACTCCCTTTGATCACAGATATAAATATCTATTGTATTTTCCTTCTGTCACTGCCAGCCTCATTTTTAAGCTACTTAAATTTCTTTTTAAATTGGGGAAAAATGTGCCTCCTCACAAACATGTACAAATCCAGGTAAGCGCACCAAGGCAGATATTCCCTCTGTTGGCTCTTCAGTGCCTGTGGCTGGGTGTGTTTTGTTTTCCTTTATACTGAGTCTCTGCTGTAAGATGTATTATTTTCTGGAGTAAGAATACCTGACACTTAATGTTCTTTTCCTTAGCAAGTGCTCTGATTTGGTTTGTCAGATTCCATAAAAATTGGGAAAGGTGCTTAGGGTGTAAAATACTGATTTTAATATTACTTAAATTTACTTGTAAGGGTATTTACGTGTTTTTAGTTGGGTTTATGTCCTCTTTTTCCTCATTTTGGTAGGTTTGGTATTAAATTAGGAGGGGGTTTTATTATAGTCTTTAAAATATAGTCTTAGGGTGTTGCGAGCTGTTTTAGATGCAGTTCTTTCTGAAAGAGAAGTAAGAAATACTGAATATCCCTACTGTTATTTGAATATATTTTTTTTTAATAATTAAATTGATGTTAACACAAATGAGCAGGAAAAAACAGCAAGTTGTAATTCACCTTAATTTTTTTTTAAATTACCTTCTGTTCAACTTCTCATTCCTTCCCTCTGGTAATTTCTTTGCAGAGTAGATCACTACAGTTTGCACTTGTACTGGCATTCATGGGATTTTTTTTTTTCTCTCTAAACACTCTGGAGCAGCTATTGCTCATGTTACTATTCCAGACTACACGGGATGTGAATTTTTGAATGTTGACTAAACAACAGAATGGTTTTCTGCTGTTACATCAGGCTTCTGCCACAGAAAATGTAAGAGAATGAGACTGTATTTTGTGGTCACTTCATGGTCCAAATTATTATCATGTAATCGATGTGCTATATTTTAGGTGAAATATCTGACACTAGGTATCTCTTCTCACAGTGTCTATATATAACAGAATATTGTTGTCACATGCGTGTTAGTCACATTCTACTTCTAGTGCCTTTTTTCGATCTAGAATATAAAGCCTTATATTTCTAGATAGGCCAGAAGTGATGACTGAAGACTTATCTTCACCCATTTCAAGTGTGGTCTCACAGCAGCACCCATGCAGGCATCCTTAAGGCTGCGGAGATACCTGTCACTGTAGATAGGCCTCTTTGGTTTAATGACCAGCTGTAAGCATCATACCAGGATGGAGGCAATGTTGGGATGTTGTCTGGTTTGTAGCAGGAGTGTATGGGCATGCCTGGGCAGAACAAGGTGAAGCAGAAAGTGCAATCACTTTAGAAAAGCTTTATAATTTTTTTTCCCCTAAGGCACCTCCTTAGATTGAATTTGATTTCAATTTGTTGATTTTCTGGTAGCAGAAGACTGTTATGGCTGAATTTTGTGTGGCAGGTGGCAACCTGAGTCAATCCATCCATTAACAGCTTTTAGGTGGTTCCAATCAAGGGGATTTTGGTGTTCTAATCCTATGGTATATAACTCAGGCTCTTCTCAGCAGAAGGTTCAGTCCAGTTTAGAATCCTCTTGTGTGTCCTCCTATTGGGAAACAGGGGCTGACAGAAATAGGACCTCATTCTGCAAAGCCTTTTGATTTCGTTTTGGCACAAAGTTCCCTACTGAAATCCCAAGCCTTCCTGGTCTTTTATCCTAAGCAGACACCAGCTGCAAACTGTGATGAATTCAACACTTGTATAAATTGCTGAGGATTAAATGTGTAAATCTTTCACCTGTTTCCTCAAATGTGCCTATGTTGAAGCCACAAGGAAGATGATAAATCCACAAGCTCTCTCCCAGTTTTTATCTGTGCTAGAATGTGTTTTGATCAGTTCCCTGAGACAGGTGATTAGTGAGACCCATGGCATCCTAAAATCTCAGCTGCCTTGCTACAAACAGATGGAAGGCAAGATGCTTGTAGTCGACAGCTCTGGCATGCTACCAGATCTCTTCAGTCCCGAGAGGAAAGAGCTTTTGGCCTCCTGAGCACAGATGATTTTATCTGCTGAAGCTCTCATTAGGCCTTCTTCTGGGTCAAGTGTATTCTTTCCTTTCCAAATGTAGCTGCTCTGCTGGTGTGCAAGTGAAAAATGCTATTTGGCCCCCACCAGTCTGACTTGGATCACTTCTTTGCTCTCTGTGTGTAAATGTGTTGCTGATGTTACTTACTTTCCTTCAGAAGCTGGGTGTATTTAACTTGCGTTTGACGCCTCCACCCTCTGTCCAGCCTGTGCTTCTCTGGCCCCCGGCTCCAGAAGGAAGCTGAGACTCCCCCGGGCCTGGCCGTGCTGACTGGCCCGGCGGGGTTCCGGCTGCCGAGGCAGGGGGGCCTTGCGGTGGCTCCGTGCTACGCTGCCTGGACACGTGTTTGGTCCTTTCCCAGAGATCTACTGAGGTAAACTGCTTCCTCTTAATGCTCCTCAGCAATGGCAGAGCTGATACTCGGTGCTTCCCTTGTAAAATATTTCAAGGTTCTTTTCCTTTAGATAGTGTGGGTGGGTTGCTGGTCTTTTTTACCTTTACCTTTCTTGACTTGATGACTGTGTTATGTGAATCTGAATTGGTGTGGTACTTGCCTTCTCTTAACTTTCTTGTACAGCTCTTACCTATGTACCAGGATCTCAGAGTTTCTAGATAATTATTCAGGGTCTTGAAGGGTCAAGTGTCCAGATGTTATCTTTGCTGACAAGTGAAGTCATTGGGGTTTTTTAGTGGTGCATTAACCAGTGGCTTTTGAGACTTGAATCCTACAGAAATATGTTGGATCTGACTTGCATGGGCTTATTTCAGCAATGGTGTTTGTGTTCATCCTTTCACTACAAGTACTTGAGAGACTGTCTTGTTTTAAAGTAGCTGCTTTTGTGTAATAAAATGGTCATGTTAGACGTGCAGTCCTGTTTTTTCACTAAGGAAACGGTCCAGAGAATGGTCCTGAGATTGGCAGGAAGATAGGTGAATTCACTGTTCGTGTTGGAATGGGAGCATACGTCAATGCCAGTGGTTCTCAAAAGCCACTCACGGTTCAGTCTGCTTTCCTTGAGAATCCCTTGCTTCTGCTCTGAGGGTGGGGCCAGCAGGATGTGCTGTTGTCACCACTTCACCACAGAAGCATTCTAAGCAGTGCTTCCCCACCACCACCTTCATGATTCACCCTAAACCATCCATAGCTGTCCACAAGTACCCATGGCACTCAGGAATGCAACCTCTTCTCTGCAGCATGAAACACTTAGCATCTTCCTGTATCCTGTTCTACCCAAACTACCTCTCATGGAATGCCCAGGAAGGAGAATCAAAGGCTATTAGCTGTCTTTGATGCACCAATAAGTGCTTTGGTGCACTGTTCTATAAGAACAGTGGAAGAAAAAACACTTCTATGAAAAAAAAAACCACCTTTGTTAGAATAAGTAACAAGTTGGGATGTGATATTTTGGGGGTTTTTTATGACTGATTCTTTACTTCAGATATTCATATTTAATAATTAGTATTTGACAATTTTTTAAAAGTTAGTACTGTTGGTACAAGAGTTATGTGGTGCTCTGCCTTGTCATGACACTGTTGCAATGTAGAGTCCTAACTCAAGTTTTATCTTGGGCAAATGTAATGAATGAAACCAAGGAGCTTTGTGTGGCACAGGGCAGAGGATACAGCATGAGGAAGATGGGCCCATCTGTGTGATTCTGTTTGGAAGGCTTCATGGAAATAATGCAAACATACCACATCCCAAGACAATAATTATCTTTGTGTATTTGCATGGAAGAAGAAGAGAGGGAAACTTAATTGTGTGGCTGAGGTGGTGTGCAGTTATCCTGTAGGCAGCTCCCAGGACTCGGGCGGGCTGAACTGCGAGCTAGCAAGTCAAGCAAGCAACAGCTCTGCAGAGGGCAATTATTAAAATTAATCTTCTGCTACTTTTCTTCTATGCAGTTAATAAACATTTAACATGAGAATGAGTTTGAGAAATTAGTTTTTTTATTGTAGTTTTAATGCTGGTCATCCCAAATGTGTGTATTAAAAACCAGAATTTTTCTTTGAGTAGTGAAGGGGTTTTGTTATTACTTCTGCCCTTTGTATGTGGATGAAAGTAAATAGTTTGTGTTGTTACTTTCTTCTTGGAATGATGGGAACAGCTTTGTTCTGTGACAGAAAATACAATGGCTGTTCAGACATTGTAAATTACTGTGTAGAGCAAGTACTGAATTAAACATACACAAATAAATGCATCAATAAAAAGGTTTCTTCAGATTCATTCCAAGTTTTGGATCCTGGCCCATATTTATCCTTTCATTCAGTTTATGGTTTAGAACATCAATTAAAGCTACTTAAAGTCAGTAGAGGTGCTTTTAACATTAAAAGCGTTAATTGTGCAAGGCTGAGTTCAGTCTCCACCTCCGGTTGCTCTTCTCCCTGGAGTCTAGTTTAATTGGCAGTCCCATTAGGGTAACAGCTAGCTCCATTTTCTTTCTGAGTTCTAATGGTCATGCTGAAGGAAGTATAGACATCAAAAACTGTTCAGTATCTGTCTGTGCTTAAAATGAAACTTTTTAAGAACAATTTTGTAGCAATTAAAACCACTTGCTTGACTTGAGACAGCTATAATACTGAGATAGTAGCTAATCTGTCCAGGAAAAAAAAAAAGGTAAAATGCTGCTGCTGTGGGGTTTTTTTAAAAAAAGTAATTTTGTTCACATCTGTTAGTAGTAGTAGAGGGAAGGGAGGATGAAGAAGACAATCTTACAGACTTGAGTTTTAAAATAATGGGATTAATTGGAATTTTGATTCAGCTCCCCAGTGGGTCACCACAGCCTCTTCATTCTTCTCAGCCAGGTTAGGGAGCTGGTGTAAACCTTGGCCAAAGCCTGAGAGAGGATAGATTGAAACACTGGACATGTTGGTGAGAGTTCATAGCTGTTAGGTGCAAATCACCTTGCTGCCCTCTGATTATTCACATATAAAAGTGATGAATTTGCAACCAGTGCATCACTGTGGACAAGCTTCAGATTTCCTTTTGTGCTTTAGAGGACTTGAGTATTATTTCACATCATTATTACATGCTTAGGTTCAGGACTTGGGTTTTCCATTATCTTTCATGTTGTTTGGCATGTTGATGAGTTCAGGACACTTGAGTGAGCATCAACATGGAAATGAAGTGGGACTTCTCAGACTTGCTGAAAAGCGTCTGTGGTCTCTGCCCAGGCCTTGAATGCTTGCCTTTAATTAGGGTTTTGCTTTCTTGCAGAAGTAGTAGCATTAATGAAGCTCAGCATTTCCTTCTAAATGTAATCCAGCTCTATCATAATTGTTTTGCTAAGCGACCAAAATGAAAGCAATCTGTTTGATGGCTTGCACTTCCTGTCATCACTTCATTGCTAGCCAAACAAATACTGTGTTGTAGGCCCATCACCACTGAGTACTCAGCTATGGTCAATTTTCAAGTTACTACAAACAAATTATTTGAAAGTGTAATTATGCTGCCCCTAATGTTGTTTGTGTTGATAAAAAGTTTGTTTATAGCTGAAGTCTCTATTCTGACTCAGAGGTACAGAATGTTTAAATATGATTTTCCTTGTTTTTTTACCACTTTCTCCTTTCTTTCTCTTGGGACTGTTGCTTTTTACAGGGGCTACGATGACCCCATCGAGACAGAGATGGCTGAGGAGAGGATACCTTACCTTCACGGTGGCTACGCAGCGCCGCTGGCACAGCCAGAGAGAGGAAGCATGGCCAGCATCGACCGTCTGGGGAAGCGCTCCCCCTCCATCGACAGCATTCGTAAAGACCCCCGGTGGAGGGACCCCGACCTCCCGGAAGTCATCGCCATGCTCAGCCACCCTATCGATCCAGTCAAGTCCAACGCCGCAGCCTACTTGCAGCACTTGTGCTACGAGAATGATAAAATCAAGAAGGACGTGAGGCACCTCAAAGGGATACCTATCTTGGTGGGCCTGCTTGATCATCCGAAGCCAGAGGTCCACCGGAAAGCCTGCGGGGCTCTCAGAAACATCTCTTATGGGAAGGATAATGAAAACAAGGTGGCTATAAAGAACTGTGACGGGATCCCTGCATTGATCAGATTATTGCGAAAAACAAACGACATGGAAGTCAGAGAGCTAATTACAGGTCAGTGTCTGTAGCTTCTTTAACGAATTATTCTTTAGAGGAGTTTTTAGCTTCAGGAACAAGAATTTGTGGAGATTAGACCGTTGAAGGAGAATTTAGATCTCTGGCTGCAGCTGTTTCTTTAGCTGCACCACGTTCGTGGTGTGAGAAAGCCTAAGGCAAACATGTCCTTCAGGAGAAGATGGAGATCGTCTGTACATGTAGTACACTCGGGTTTCCCTGGCTGTTGAGAGATGGATAATGCTTCTTGGATGTAGCACACAACTACATGTGCTTGAGCTACTGAAGCTGAAATGAGTTATAGCAACTTCATTGACAGGTAATTTGTAGTGTGCTTGCCCTCAGCATGTTATAATCATGAGGTAAGATATGCTAATCTAAAACTTTCCTTGTTAATTCCTTATAAAACAATCCTGCTGCCATGTCCCCACCACTGCATATTGATACAACAGTCCATCTCCTCAGGAACAGTTCCAGCCCTGGGTGCTGGGGATTCCCAGGCTGTATAGAAGGTTGCAGCACTTTTAGGCTGGAGAAATGAGTTTTTAAGGAATGTGGAGTCTGCTGCTGACATGCTCTGGGCACGGGGTTTGCTTGTTGCAATAATCAGAAAAGGGAGAATTATGTTTTGACATTACTGAGCTTGTGCACACTTTGCAGGGAGTTTTCAATCACTTATAACTCCATTATTCAACCTGGGCTTTATTTGAACTTAGTCTTGGATATTGTCCAAAAAGAGTAATACGTATATGCTAGGTTTCAAAGTTTAGCCATTAGGTGGAAAAGGGTGGAAAAGTATTTCAGCTCTTAACCGAAGGAGAATATATTGTCCTTCAGTATCCCATAACTCATAAGGAGTGAAATGGATTTCCCTTTCTCTTCTCAGAAGCAGCAGGAGATTTTTGGATGGAGACCAGCGCAGTTGCAATGAATTTCAATGCCAGAACAGAATTTTTCAGGAAGTTTTCTGAGAGAGAGAATGGGTCCAGGGCTATTTAACAGCTACTTTATCAGTGTTGAATTCTCCAGGCAGGTCCTGTTGCAAATGTGAATTAAGCCATTAGAAGTAAACATCATAATTCTATAATCGCCTCAAAAAAATTATAGCAGCTCTCCAGGTTTTTACGGGTAATCATTGTCTGAGATGAACAGTGGCCTTGGGTGTTCCAACTGTTCTTCCCCAGGCATTATAGGATATTTAGCAAACTAGGTCTAAATATACAGTGTAGAAAATAGCAGGGATTGTTTTTCCAGTCCTTTTCTGTTGAGCTAGTGAAGGAGAGCTGTCTGTTTTGTCAGGGAATCTCCAAGTAGTGTGTGTTGGTTGTGATTTGATTGCTGTCTGTGCTTTGTCTCTCAACATGGAAGCTCTGTAGGTAGTATTTATACTCCATTTGTTGCACTCAGTATGATGGCTGACTGACTTTTTTTTTTTTTTAAATAAAGAATGTCTGTTTATCTACTGTTCTAGTTTACTCAGGAGTCATTACTGGAGTGCTGAGAAGAAATAAATTTACTTCTTTAGAGTCAAGAAAGGAGAAGCCAGTCTGTAATTTACTCTGAAGAAATATCAATAAAATGCTAAATGTTAATCAGTCTTTTTTGACAATACAAAACCAAACTGGATGTTTTTCCTTTTCACTCTAAGTGGCAATTGCTTTTATTTCCTGTTGATTAATTATTTTTACAGTTCCAATGCATTTTATTTGACAGTAGCTCCTGCTCATTAAATGTAGTATTTTTATTCTGTTTTGGGTTATGCTGTATTTGCTGAGAAACACCAGGAATACTGAGGGCATTAACATAAATGGATGTCCAGCAGCAGATGATGTGCATTTAATCTCCACCTAACCGGGTTCAATTTTGTTGCACTTCTAAAAGGGATATTGCTGGATCAGGTGTGAGATACTTGAGCAGCAGTGTAGAAGAGAAGAGTATTACAGCAGTGCCTCTGGGACTGATGCTGGTGTACTTGCAGTCAGTGTTCAAAGCCTCAGCTGATAATGTGGAATTGTCCATTCAAAAAAGGAACTCCAAAAGTCAGCAGAGAAACAAGAGCCAACTAGAAGTGCAAAGGGAGCGTTCAGCTAGGGCTGCTACAAAAGGCCTGTGTTTTGCAGCCTCAAAAATTCAGATCAGAAGTCTGATGTTCTCTTGGTAGAAATCTTGACTTCCTATCTGGGTACTTTTCCCTAATGATAAAACCAAAGTTTACCTTTGCCATGAAAGTTTTTCATTCTGTCTGGAGTTAAACCTCTAGGGACTTCTGAAGCAATGTAAAAAAAAAAAGGAAGAAAAGGCAACAGAGTTTGCTTGTTTATTTCTTTTAACAGGCTGCAAAGTTAAGTTTGGTATGACACTGACTTTTCTGTGGTTTAATGTTTCTTTGACTCAGAGCTGGCTGCATTTGGAAAGCTGAATAGTAATCAATAGTTGGTCACCCCAGGCATGGAGAAATGATAAAATAATTCTAATTTCCAAAGAGATATACATAACTTAAAGAAACTTAAATAATTTGGGTGTTAGATTTCAAGAGTACTTCTAGTCTGAAGTTGGGCTTCTTTGGGTGTGGGACGTTGCCTGCCTGCAGGACACGAGGTGCATGGGAGCATACAGTCAGTCACATTATTTGTGACTGGAGAGGGTGTCTTCTGGCAAAAGAGAGTATCATTCTTATTTGAGAGTCAGTCCTTGGCTTTCTTATGGCTCCATGGCCTCTGATTTACTCGGTGGTATGATGCAGCAGCCACAGCTGTCCAGAACAGTATGAATCAGGCCAGTCAGTTGTGTCTGGTCAGTGGGTTAATGGAGTGGGGAAAAAAGCCACACCACTATGTTAAAAGCACGTGAGAGAGACACAGTGGCCAGGCAGCGTGGAGGACGAGGCAGGTGTGTGATAGTGCTGAATGACTGAGACTTGGTGTGTCAGAAGTGTGCTCACCTGACTACTTCCCAGAACGTTTGGAGAAGGCGACTTATACAAACATTTTGACGTGCAGTTTTGGAAGCAGGCTGAGTATACTGGTAAAACATCACTGCCAGATTAAGCAAGACTGTAGCTATTTTTTTTTTTTTCTGATAGCATTGGTTTTAGCAGAATTGAAATACCTTCTCTTGGTTAATGCCCATCTCTGTTTTACCAGACATTCTTGATATATCTGCAGATGGCACTAAAACATCCTGTCCCTCAAGGTAACACAGATATGTGAGGTGTGTTAAAATAGTTTCATGACCCAAGATAAAATACCAGAGATCTCACTTTTCTTTCTTTTCAAAGTGTGGAGTTACAAAATGCATCCCATCTACTGCACTGAGAAAAGCTTGATTTAACTGTTAGTGTCCATGAGTAAATCATGAGTAGAGTTCCTATGAGAATTATTCCACAAAATTCTTCCTCGCATTTGTTTCTAGTCTTGGAACTGTATTGCTGAACTTCCGGTGGATCATTTTCTTGAGAAATGGAGATAAATGAGGGTTACACTGATAAGGAATTAAATCTGTTCTGATTGGGAAAGCTGAAAAAGTTTTATCTTGAGTGATAAGGGTTTTTTTTGTGGAGGAAATGTTCCCATCAGATATGCAAGATGAAAATTCTATTACGTTTTTTGAAAAGCAATCAGAAGTTAGTAGCTTTAATGAATAATTTTGTTCTTTGTGAGAACATTGAAAGTAATTTTGCTGTTTAATGACATTGCACTAATTTTAAGTGGTGCAGAACGTGGTTTTCCTGATGCTGTACGTTGCCAAGCTGGTTTTAATTGAAAAATGATTGACCTTCAAAATGCTCTGCAGAGGTAATATTTTGATCTAGTACTATAACAGAAACTTGCAGATTGATTAACTTGCTTAGGAGTCACACCACCTGGGCGTTTATGTATGCTAAGGTCCTGTCAGGTGGAGACACTGATTTCTCTTTTTAAGTACCATTTTGTCTTGAACTTCCTGATCACAGATGAGCTTACTCATTCCATTTTCTATTAGAAGGCTTGTCAGAAGAAGGTTGGGTTTTGTGATGTATTCTATGACACAGTGATTCACGTTGAGGTTCTCAGCTTGACCACTTCTTAGAAGCACAGCTCCAACCTTCAGTACTTAAAATAACACAAACAAGTCTGTCAGACATGCATACACACCAACATGCCACAAGAAGTCCTCAGTGAATATCATGCAGAGCACTATTTTTTCAAATGGTAAATGATTTGGTAGGGACTGCAGATGAAGAATTAAACAGCTTCTTTTAATTTCTTGATGATATTAAATTTTTCCAAGTAAGCAAGTACATCAGGAAGAGATTTCCCTTGGGTTTCAGAAGATAATAGCACGTATGTATTGTGCCATGATTTCGTTCAGAATCTTTCCACAGCTCCAAGGAGGCAGAGATTCAGGAAATTATGGCTGGGGCCCTGATCACTTCTAGTATTACATAAATCACATAGCTGTGTTTATAGCTTATAGGTTTTTTGTTGTGTTTTTACCATGATAGGTACTTATGAAATAAACTTGTAGCTATTGTCCCTGCTTAACATGCTGAAAGAGTGGAGGTGTAATGGTTGTAGTTAGAAATAGATACACATATATTACAAATATTATTTTATGAATAAAATAGATTGATCATGATTGTGGTTGTCTTCTGAAAAGAAACAGGTCATCTTCTTTTTCTAATACTAAAATTCATGCAATCTGCGGTCAGAAAGTCCCATACTTGTAGTGAAAGTGTGTGGAGAATGTAGATAACTTCATTCCCTTAAGCTGCTGTGTTAGTGACTTCATTTCTCTTGAGTGCTAGTCATTTGAATTGATTAAACTTAAGAGTTTTAAAAACAGTGTTTCCAGCTTGTTAGATCATTAGTGTGTTATGCTAATAGAGGCAGGGTTTTATTTTTAAACAGCAATGTCAAATTTACAAGGATTTTAATTTTTTTTTGACTCACATTCTCTTACATTCAGTCTGATCTGAATTTGTTCTCTTTTTAAGTTTCTGTGGCTGTCATTGTAAGTGC